AGTTTAACATCGTTTATATAGAGCCGCTGTGTTGTAACGGTTTATTATCATATTATTTTTGGTGACTTAATTTTCCTGTGAGTACCATCTAATTTAGCGATTCCAGATAGGAAATAATTTCAAAGGATATTTCAAAAACTTACAAGACTGTTGTTATTTGTAGCTCTATATAATTTTAATACCATTTTTGGTAACCTCCAGTTACAACTATCAGCCCTTTTCAGCTGCCTGATCGCTGCAGGATAACTCCTCTACTGAAGTATTGTCCAGGCAAACTGGGCCTTTGGCTTGAGAAGAGTCAAAAGATACACAGGAAATACTTTTTTGGACCAAAAGAAATTGAACTCAGTAACTGCTTGTTATTTTATAGTGTCATATGAATATTAAGTGTCTATTTCTGTGTAAAGTGAGGGATATTTGTGAGGAGTGTGGGAATGGACATACACCCTTTGCAAAAATTAACTCAAAATAGATCAGAGACATAAGTGTAAGCACAAAACTATCAAACTCCTAAAGGATAGCACAGGAAAAAATCCAGATGATCTTGGGTTTGGTGATGACAATTTAGATGCAATATTAAAGGCACGCGGCATGAAAGGGAGACTTGATAGTCTGGACTTTATTAAAATTTAAAACTTCTCCTCTGAGAAAGACAGTTTCAGCAGAATGAGATGAGAACTCACAGAGTAGGAGAAAATATTTTCAAAGGACACATCTGATATAAAACTGTTATCCAAAATATACAAAGAACTTTCAAAACTCAACAGTAAGAAAACAAATTATCCAATTTAAAAATTGGCCAAAGAACTTGACAGTCACTTCACCAAAGAAAATATACAAATGGCAAATAAACATATGAAAAGACCTTCCACATCACATGTTATGAGGGAAATGGAAACTAAAACAAATAGGTCCCACTACACACCTATGAGAATGATCAAAATCCAAAGCATTGACAACACCAAAAGCCAGTGAGGAGGTGCAACTACAGGAAGTCTCATTCATTGCTGGTGGGAATGCAAAATGGTACAGCCACTGTGGAAGACAGCTTGGTGGTTTCTTACAAAACTAAATATACTCTTAACATATGATCGAGCAATCATACTCCTTGCTATTTACCCAAAGGAATCGAAAACTTATGTCCACACAGAAACCTGCACATGGATGTTTATAGTATCTTTATTCACAGTAGCCAAAACTTGGAAGCAAGCAAGATGCCCTTCAGTAGGTAAATGGCTAAATAAACTGTGCTGCAGTCAAACAATGCAATATTATTCAGCGCCAAAAAGAAATGAGGTATCAAATCACAAAAAGACTTGGAGGAAACTTAAAAAAAGGTATATTACTAGGTGAAAGAAGCCATTCTGAAAAGATAATATAGTGTACAATTTCAACTATTTTACCTTCTGTAAATGACAAAACAATGGAGACAGCAAAAACCATTGTTTGCCAGAGGTTAAGGGGAAGAGAGAGATAAATAGGCAGAGTGCAGAAGGTTCTTTAGGCAGTGAAATTACTCTATATGATATTATAATGATGGATACAAATCATTATACATTTGTCCAAAGTCATAGAATGCACAATGCCAAGAGTGAGTCCTAATATAAACTATGGACATTGGGTAATAATGAGGTGTCAATGTAAGTCCATCATTTGTGACAATATACCCCTCTGGAGGGAAATGTTGATAATGAGGGAGCAAATGTATATGTGGAGGTTATAAGTAACTGAGAAATCTCTGTACCTTCTACTTAATTTTGCTCTGAGTCTAAAACTGTTTTTAAAAAATTAGTTCTGCTCTGGCTGGGTGCCTCGGTTGGTTGGAACATCTTTCCATACACCAAAATTGAGGGTTCAATTCCCTGTCAGGGCCCATACCTAGGTTGTTGTTCAATCCCAAATTGGGGTGCATATGGGAAGCAACCCATTGATGTTTCTCTCACATCAATGTTTCTCTCTCTTTATCTCTCTCTCTCTCTCTCTCTCTCTCTCTCTCTCTCTCTCTCTCTCTCTCTCTCTCTCTCCTTCACTCTAAAATCAATAAAAACATATCCTCAGGTGAGGATTTATGTAAAAAAATCTATTTTAAAAAAGTCTTTTTGTAATTTCATGTCCCTCTCTAGTTTCTTCTCCATTTCTCTGCTTTCTTCTTTTAAAGTATAACCTTTCAAGACAGTTGTTGATACCCACTATGTCTAGGTCCTGTTTTTAAACTAATTTCTCTACTACATGTAACTCTTAAATTTACCAGTGTTTACCATTTTGCTAAATTGTGGATCATTGATTGTCACCTTTTGTGAGACGAAAAAAAAAAAAAAAGAATCACTGAAGCCTTTCTTCTTCCTTCTTAAAATAATTTCTTCACGTGATTTTAACAACAGCATTCTTCCTTGGTTCTGTTTCTACATCTTTGGCCACTTATAAATATAAGAGTGCTTGATCTTCTACATTATACCTCTTTGCTTCTTTGTCCTCCCTCCCTCAGCAATATGATGCAGGCTAAAGGCTCCATCCTTCTTACTGTTTTAGACAAAAACTTTTCAGTCATCTTTTCTTGTTTTTCTTAACACATATGGAAACCAATGTAAATGGAGACCTATTGACTATATACTTTATATATCATAAAAATCTAGAATTTAACCACCTCTTAGCTCCTTCATGAGTAACAACACTCTTATCAAAGTCAACATAATCTCTTGCCTGGATTATTGCTATAACCTCCTAAGTAATCTCTCTCTCTCTCTCTCTCTCTCTCTCTCTCTCTCTCTCTCTCTCTCTCTCTCTCTCTCTCTCTCTTTCTCTCTTGCCTTTGTCCCCCTACAAAGTATTCACAACAGCCATTTTAATCCTCTGTACAAAATCTTTCAGTGGTTTTCCAAGAGATTCAGAGTAAAAGTTCCTATGAAGCCTCACATGAACTCGAACATCCTAGATAGTTGTTTTTTTAATCATTATCTGATCATCCTCACTATCAATGAATACTCTTATTGTGATCACTCCTCAGGTTAAGGAATTCCTACTGTTTGTTTGTTTGTAAACAAATTCTACTTTCCAATCCCCATTACCCATTTTTATTAAATAGATATTTTATGAGCACTGTTATGGATGTATAAAAATGATTAGAACATTTCCTGTCCTCAAAGAGTATTTACACATGGAGAAAAGACAAAGATGCAATGAATAAATACAAGGTCAGTAACTAGTATTGAATGTGTGCACAAAACACTATTATGATGAGCAATCAATTAAAATGACCTGACATAGACCTAGAGGATCTTAGAGAAATAGCATTTGTTCTGACTGATGTTAAGTGATCTCTGTGTTTTGAACTGTTTCCCAGTTTTCCATACTCCTTTAGTCATACTTGTAGACCTGATTGAAGACAATATGCTGGCATTTATATATAAAGATAATTATCTTTGGTCCCACTTGTATTAAATTTATATAATGGTGTGAATTTATAAATTTACATTGTGGCTTGTGCTGTCTGTGGTCAGTAAAAAAACAAAACAAAACAAAACACACAAAAAACAAAGACATTTAACAAACAAAACAAAGAAAGGAAGAAAGAAGAAAAAGAAAGAAAATAGTTTACAGATTATTTTGACCCAGAAGTTCTCACATGACACATGAAAAATTGCTATCCTATGTTTATGGTGCACTCTCATTGATGGAGGCAAAGCTCTGTGCAAATGCTGACCTGAAAGTGATAGCCATTTTTATATCCATCTCGCAAAAATGAGTGAGTGACTGACAGGTGTATCAGCTCTAAGCCATAGAAAAAGTAGCTATTCATGAACTTTATTATTAGCATATTGGTATTATTAAATTACTCTAACATCTCTCAGGTGATAGATAAATTACTAGCCAACAATACCAGCTTTAAACAATTGTTTCTTTCAGTGGATACACTGACTGTCCAGAAGATATAAGGCTCTTTTATTATTTCAGAATTCATGTTAATCTTTTAAAAGGTAGCATGATATATTGACAAGAACATGACATTTTAGACTCAAAGGACTTCAGTATGATTCCATGCTATAAAATGTATAAATTACATAATATTGAACAACCCACTTAGGAATATTGAGTCTCAGTTTAATTATGTATGCCATGGGATTGTCTTAACTGCAAAATACTCAACACTTTTGAGTTACCATTATTGTAGCAGCACCATCAATGTACCGTACTTATCTTTTTCTATTTTGCCCTCATCTCTTTCATTTTTCTTTCTAGAATAGAGGTAGCTCCTCAGTGCTTTGAGGACTTGCTTTCTTCTAGTCCATCACAAGCTTCTCTGGTAAACTGGGAACGTTACAGTTGGGTTGGTAGGATCAGGGGACTGTTGGTCATACTGAATTACCAGAGAATTTTCCAGTGTTGAAGTACTCATTATTTTAAGAACATTTTCTATTTTTAAAATCTTCTGGATGTGGTAAGTGAGGTGGACCAAGCTGATTATTATTTCTCTAGAGAAATTGAAAAGATTGGAAGAAGAAGGCAGCAGGGAAAATAAAACATCTTTAGACAGTCAAGGAACATGTTTCTGGGAGAAAACTCTGAATGCTTGGCATGTGCTTGTGATTAGAGAGGCCCACTCTGCTCCAATGGAGAAGGCGGCCCAGCTGTACTCAGACTAGTGGGGCCTGATTGCGAGGCCACCCTCAAGTACTGTGCTCGAGCACTCTGCTGCCTCTGGTCCGTCAAGAGCTGTCCCACGGACAGAGTCTGTAAAGTTTGAGCTTGAGGTAGAGACAGGTGGTTGAATGAAACAAATCTATTCATTAATTCCACAGATTTTTTTAGTGCCTTATATAGGATAGGGATAGTGTAAACAAAACCCACAACAATCCTGATCTCATAAATTGTTTATCGCCGAAAAATATAAGCCTTTTGACTGTTCACTGGATTTTTACTCTCCACTCTCCTCTCTCCCACTAGATTTTTTGGATTATCAATATAATAACCTGAGCATTCTCATTGTGTTTTTATTGATACAGGTTGCCATATTGGAGACACTTTGGTATGATGGGAAAAACACCCAACTGAGAATCAAACTACATGGATGCCATTCCATCTGCCACTAATTAGGTACATGGGCTTCAGCTTATTATAAACTCAGAGTCCAAAGAAAGCGGTAGGTTCTTTGATAATTTATATCACCTATCTTGTTCTCAGTCTGTGTGGTTCATGCTTTTTCAGGCAAAAGAGAGGAAGTTCTCTCTTCCTGAGTTATCTTCAATATAAAATCATGTGTCCTATTGTAGCTTGCTCTCAATTCTCTGCAGCATGAATAGTGAGTGGGCACAGAATTCAGACTTCCATAACACTCAAATTCTTTTCAGTCATACGTTTCTGGATTGATTTGAGATCAGAATGTGCTGGTCTGAGAATAATCTGTCAGATAATTAAAACAGAAGCCGATTTAATATCTCCTGGGGTGGACTGCTGTTCCATTGTTTGGGATCAGGTGTCTTAGCTAATAAAAGACAAGGCGTTTTCTGCTTCTTCCAGGAACACTAAGACTGAACTTTGTTTAAATACTAAAAATTGTTCAAAGTCTGGCAGAGACTTGCAGATGTCCCTAATATCTATGTCTCTTTTTCTTTAGTAATAGAACCTACAAATTATTGGTTGGCATGTTACTACTTAAAATCAAGGCAAATTTTTCCAATTCTCTTGTAGTTTAGAGTGGTTCAGTGACCAAGGTCTGGCCAAAGGTATGTTAGGTGAACAATTTCTTAATAGTGCCTTTAACAAAAGGGCATGCTTTGTTTTACATGCCATCCCCCTACCCCGGCTAATTTTAGATGCTAAATTGAGGACCCTGTGGCCATAGTGGTGAGCCATCTTCCAACCTTCAACTGAAGAAGGGCAGTGGGTGGTGAAGTCACATTCAAGAAGGATTTGGGATCTCCAGTTATGTGGAACTGCCACACAAACCTTGAACTGCCTCTTCAGACTTTGATGACTTTCTTAAACCATTGAATATTATGGCCTCTTTGTTTCTTAAACCATTGAATATTATAGCCTAATGTACATCCCAATGAATACAAATATAAATTACCCAGGTAATAAATAAACCTAAAATGTTACATTCTCAGAAATTTTCTTTTTACTTATAATCAAGCTAATTCAGCAATATTCTATGTGAAAAATATCTATCTATCTACCTATCTATCTATCTATCTATCTATCTATCTATATAGTATCTGGAAAATAGTGATCATTTTATTTATTTTTTATTTATTTATTTTTTAATATATTTTATTGATTTTCTTACAGAGAGGAAGGGAGAGAGATAGAGAGCCAGAAACATCGATGAGAGAGAAACATCGACCAGCTGCCTCCTGCACACCCCCTACCGGGGATATGCCCGCAACCAATGTATATGCCCTTGGCCGGAATTGAACCTGGGACCTTTCAGTCCGCAGACCGACGCTCTACCGCTGAGCCAAACCGGTTTCGGCAATAGTGATCATTTTAGAGATGATCCTTAAGAGTGTGTTTTTAACATGTTCTTTCTTTCATTACTGTTCTTTGGAGTAAACATTGAAAAGGTGATGAAAATAGAACCATTTAATTTAACATGAAATTCACATAATTTTTAAATTACAATTTAAAACATTTGTTATAATCAATGATCATTGAAAATCACACTAAAATACAGAAGGCCTGAAAAGATCATAGAGAACTTTAAAATGATTGTGTTGTGGACATGCTAATATGGATTTCCTGATTTTAGATATTGATCTTCTCAGCAATAATAATACATCCATGATTGCATTAGGTTGCTATATTTGTTTGTAGTAAGGTTGCCTGTAAACAGGCAAGAATAATTAAACCACTCAATATTAACTGAATAATATATTGATGATTTTAAAAACAGTTTGGCTAGCATTTTCTTCTGCTTTAGAAGTGATGTCGCTGTGAAATGTGAGGATAACACTTCATGTGTTACTATTTGTTGTGAAGTGATTTAATAAATGTTTAAACAAGTCATTACCATGTTGACAACATTTCTTATCATGAAATTATAATTTTATATTGATTGTCAGGCTAAGCTTCCCACCCCCTTCCTCTGCCTGAAATGTGAGGACACCTAAACATGACCCTCAGAGAGTGCTACAGACTGCACTAATATTTAGGTCTGGATGTTTGGAGTCTTCCTCTCTTCACTGTCAAAGAAGGAAGGACAGTCATCCCTCCTTTCCACAGCATATGTGGAAGGAGCAAATAGTATTCAGTATATACTCACTGCTGGGAGAGCACCAAGATAGCATCTTTGGAATATAACAATGGCTCATATATAAGTAGCCTCAATAGCAGCAGCAGCCAGAAAGCTCCTTCTCAACTTGTCTTATGGGTTTCAGACTTGCAGCTGAGTAATAAGTATAGTTGAGTTTCCTGGCTCTTCCAATTGAAGGCCATTGTTTTACCTTCACAAATAAATAGACTTAAATTAGATTGATGACAGTCATTTTTTCAGTAGTAATTATGGAGCTACTATGTGCCTGATAAATAATAGCTAATCAGATGCTATTCCTGTCCTCTTGAAGGTTTCAGTCAAGTAGTAAATCCGTGTCCCTGGTTTTAGCTTCCTGTGGTATGTCCTTTTGCTGAGTGGGTTTCCATTTCTCTACAATCCTCAGACTGCTCTACTGAGAACTCTTCCCCATGAATTTCATCAATGAGAAGAGAAGGTTTGACCTGAATATTATATAGTCCTTTCAGTTACACAGTCATAGAGATGGAAGGTTTTCTTAGTTTATTGGCTACATTTTTCCCCAGATGTATGGCCATTCAGTTTCTGCCCCAAAACTTTTTAAAAGGTTATTGTGCAAGATTTTATCTAATCTTGCAATATAAATTCAGAATTTTCCAATTTGTGATCATAAAAGTTATGAGGTCATTGTGACACAATTTGATCTTAATGGGTGCATGTATAATCCTAGTGACAACCTATTTCTTTCTAAATTCTCTAAGCTTAAGCAAATATTTAAAAACTTGTTCAGAGATAAGATTTTCAGGTATGGGTTTTTGGTATCTATCTTTTTTCCGGGTTGAAAACCGTATAGTTGCTCATCAAGTTTTATGTCATCCTTCCTATCCTCCCTATAAATGTGAGACTGCCCTGTATTCTTTTCTTGTCACAGATGTTATTTTTCCTATTAAACCTTTTCCATTATATCTGGGCCTTTTTCTTTATTCTCTATTAGCACTCTCTGGCTTTTTCTTGTGTAGTCCAAAAAAAAAAAAAAAAAAAAAAAAAAAAAGCCAGTTTCACTTTAAAATAGTTGTTCTCAACCAGGGGTGCTTTTGTCAGCCAAGGGGTCATTTGACAATGTCTGAAGACATTTTTTTGGGTGTCACAACTGAAGGAAAACCATTTGTGACTGGAATCTAGTGAATAAAAGCCCAGAATACTTGCTAAACATCTTAAAATGCAGAGGATATTTCCCTTAACAATGATTTATTTGCCCCAAAAGGTCAGTAGTGTTGAGCTTGAAATAATTTGTTTAAAACAATTCAAATATTTATTTGTTCTTCTTAAGTTGTTTTTTTAAGAATATTTTTATTATGTCTCCTCTTATATCCAGTTAGAGAAAATTTTCTAAAGTATTTTAATATGCTTTCTTTTACTGTTTCATTTACTACAAACATTGGAATATTTGCCTGTTCTAGGTACTCTCTAGATAATACAAAGATAAGTCTTTGTCTCTGACTTTATTGTAAAAAATAAGTTTCTGTGAATTAAGGTAATTATAGTTAAAGATGAATCTAATTACTCATGTCAGAGCAGACAGAAAGTGCCAGAGGAAGTTAGGAGGATTGGTTATTTTATGCTGAAGGGATATAGGAGATATAATAGGGTAGATAACAGTAGAGCTGGGTCTTTAAGAATAATGATATTTCAAACATGCTAAGGTGAGGAAACAGAAGTGAGAAAGGAAGAAAGCATGTGGAACCAGGGCAGGCTAAAGGGACTATGGTAGCAAGCTTCACTTGCAGTAAAGTGCATGAGAGATGTGGTTGGAAAGTTCTTTGTGTTACTCAGATGTTAATGCTATAGGGCAACATATTGTTTGTCTTAAAAATATCTACACTAGGATAATTACAACAGTTTTTCTTTTATGAGTAAAAATTATCCTATATAATAAAAAGGTAATATGGAAATTGACTATCACACCCTCACAATATGGCCAGCAGGGAGGTTAGTGAGGGACGACCAAATGACTAAACAGCAGGCTGCGTGGGGCGACCAGGCCAGTGGGGGGGCTGTGAAAGGTGCCCATGCCGGTAGGGGGGCCATGAGGGGTGACCAGGCCAGCAGGGGAGGTTTATTGGGGGCGACTAGGCTGGTGGGGGAGGGGCAGTTAGGGGTGATCAGGCAGGCAGGCAGGTGAGCGATTAGGAACGAGCGGCTCAGGATTGTGAGAGGGATGTCCAACTAAATCGGCAGCCGGACATCCCCTGAAGGGTCCCAGATTGGAGAAGGTTCAGGCTGAGCTGAAGGGACCCTCCCACCCACCCCTCCACCGGGCCTCTAGTATATTATAAAATGACACATTTTGTTATCTTATGTTGAACAAATCAAAATTTTAATTGCAATATGAATTTATTTGACATTGTTCTGAGTTTTCATGAGTATTTTTATTGCTTTATTTTACATCAGCTGATATTCTTCATAATCATCAGGCAAAAATTCACCTTGAATAAATGTATGCTCATTGCTTTAGGGGTCAAAATAACCTGAAAATGCATAATTTAGAAGGGGGTTCAATGATTCACTCCTACAGTTTGGAGTAAAAATAAATTCTAGCATAAGATAATAAAATCTGATACAGAACAACTTTGGAAACATCCATATAGTAAATGTGGCATCCAAACAGAGGAGCAATATATAATGTTCTTCCTGTGGCTATGAAGGGTCATTACATTCTCCTGGATGTGTGTGTTTTGAGGGGAACTTGATTTAATCTGCTGATTCCTGGATCCTTTCTCAATTGACTATATTGGGTCAGAACTGGAAAAGACACAAGAGGAAATTTTATTTTTTTATATATATATTTTTTACAAATGCTTTAGGTCAGGGGTCCTCAAACTTTTTAAAGTGGGGGCCAGATCACGGTCCCT